ATAATGACATATTTTTGTGACGGTGGGAAGAAGTGAAGGTGCTAGAGAGTTGCAGGCTTTACTAGGTGCTTTCCATGTCTCTGACTTACCTGAAGATGAGGTGGACTATCTTTAGATTTTTAACAGTGAAATTGTGAATTTTTATTGAATTACTTTGTTGGCTAAGACCGTGTGGAAGTGAGGTAAAAATCATGAAGCTGCAGAGTAGTCACTGTAGTTAGACCTGTTTGAAGTTGGTGAAGAAGCAACAGATCCCAGTCTACTACAAGGAAGAATCCAACACTGTTTGCTATGAAGGCTTAGTAAGGATTTTAGAAGACTTTTCTTAAAGCTTAGACTTTTTCTTCTTCTAGTCCCTGTAGGATAAGTAATGCCTGGAAATAACTCTTCAGTTAAGTATGATGGATACTGTTTTGGTATTTGGATACTTGTTGCTATTATGATTTTTTCCAGAACTATGAGGGTAAGAGTACCATTACCTCCCTGCTTCATACTATATTTGTAATGTCAAAACTTGCTGGCTTTATTTCCATGCTGTCTTGGTAGTATTAAGTTTTGATCTGCCTTTTGTAAGAGGTCTGTCTTGTGTTACTGGTAGTCCACAGGGAGCTGTCTGTATGTGTTAGATATCTGAAACAGTCTGAAAAAAATGGAAATAATAAAATTATTTTCTTAAACCTTTCCCACATAAGCAGTGTTATATCTGTGGGATTATTTATGGGGAAGGAGATGTGAAACATCACAAGACCAGCTTTCTAATTCAGTTTTCGAAGTCATTTGCGAGGTAGGAATTGCTCAGTAGATGATTTGAGTTACCAGACAACGTATGTTATCAGAATCAAGCTAAGGAAATATGGATTACGTGAAATGCTCTCAGGAATGTTTGCAGCTGCTGAGAAAAACTGAGAGGATTGCTAAATGAGCAATCTGAGAAAAACTGAGAGTTGCTAATGAGTTTCAAATAAGACAGGTGAATTAATACTTGCTATTATTTGATGTAGGTGAAGGAATGAGGACTCTGTTCTTTCAATACCCGGATGAAGATGGGTAGAGCTGCTTGTCTATTTGAGAAGATGCTTTGAACTTAGTTACTTTGACAGATTGGAGAAGGAGTCTGGAGGGAGGGGTTGGGCGGGGTGGAGGGGCAGCTCTGTGGCAGGAAGTTTTGGCTGTATGCCTGCAGACTGCGCACTGTGGGCCCAGTAGCAACCACTGCTCACAGCCAGGACATGAAGCAAGAGTCATGTCACCCTGTTGCAAAAGCAAATGCACTGGAGTTTGTATGTAGGATTATTATCTGCGACTCGTGGAAGAGTAAAGGATGTTTTTCTGTAAAAAGAAAATAGTCTTTTCCGTATAGGGAAGGATTCAGCTGGGAGACTTTGTCCAGGTTTGGGCATCACCTCATAGTGGTTTTGTGTGGAGACTAGCAACTAGAAGAATCAGAAATGTAGAAAATTACACCTAAGTAACCATCTAAGCAGAGGGTGAAAGAAATGGGTTTTATTTAGTCTGGAGAAAAGACAAGGATGTACTGAGAAAACAATTAGTGTTCAAACGTGAGGTTATAACTGTGGAAAGAAGAAAAGGATGATTTCTTCAGAGTCCAGTGCAGAGGGCTACTTGGTAAAGGGCTTGAGCTGCACTGAGGGAGATATGGTACTTTAAGTGCCAGGACAAGCTTTCTGGCAGTAAGGGTTGCGCAGAGTGGAAGGGGGCTCCTGTGGAGAGTCTGTGGAGCCTCTGTTATGCACAGTGTAAGCTCTTGGTCCAATCTAGCTGCCCTTTTCCAGGACCCTGGCAGATCTTTTTTCTGTAACCATCTCTGTTTTTGAAAATCGCAGCGTAGTGTGTGGGACGGTTTGAAGAGAAAAACATGAAGTGCTGTTTTCAACCAGCACAATTCTTGTTTTGGTGGCTTGGCTGTTGGTAAGTACTATGGTAAATTACAGAGAGAGTGATAGTATAACAGTAGTGATAACTGCAAAAATAGATCTATGTTCCAAATGGCCTTCTGTTGTTATAAGTTGTATTTTAAGAAATAAGTCTTGCTGATGCTTTTTTCCCTGGTGACGCTTAGTTTCCAGGCAGTATTTATGAAAAGCTACTGTGCATTTCTACGTTTTATATTCTGTGTCTACGCTGTTCATTAGTTCCTATAATTTTTTATTTGTTTGTTTTTCTGTTCCTTCATGCCACAGTTTCTGTTGCTGACCCCTTACTTTTTCAAATGCACCTGGAGAGTACAAGTGTGGTGTCTCTTGGCACAGTGTGTGTGAAGGGAAGGGTGAGGATCTCCTATGCATTCTTTACCCTGCTTTGGAACTTGCTTTCATGGGGGGGTTGGCACCATTCCAGGCTGGGGGGCACGCTTTCCTTTTTTTTTTTTTTATCTGCTGGGGAAGACCCCCCTGATCATTAATTTGCGGTGACTTAGTTTAATGTTTCTCAATTGATATGTTAAAACTAGTTTTCAAAAAAGGAGGGGGGAAATGGTATTTTGTGGGGGAAACTATACTTTTCATCCTATTTTGTATATTTTTTCATGCTTGTGAAATAAGCAAAGTTGGGACTGAAGATTATGACTGCATACTGTAAGGATTAGAGAAGGAAAAAATTTTTAGCTCAACCTTTCAGTATTTCAGAGCTCATCTTGGCATTTAACGGAGCAAATAAATGTGTTTTTAATGAAGAGTTCAAAAATATATTAGTTTTGTGGTTCAGCTGGGAGGCAAAAGCTGTGGTTTTGTTCACACTTGAAAGTTGTAGGCTGTGTTGCATTTTAATGATGCCATTTGAGCTGCCACAACCAGGGCTTTGCCTGTGTTTCTATGGAAAATGTATGTTAAACTGGTTCAATCGGAACACTAAAGAATTATCCCGTAATCAAACATCTCATAAGAAAAATTTGTTCAAAGTCACGTTTGGAAAACTTAGCCAACCATTTATTAATTATTTACTTCTTTTCTTCACTTACCCTCCCTCCCCCAGTGCATTTTGTGGGTGAGGCTCTTGGCATTTCTTAGCTGGAGGGTAGAGGCAGAGTACCAGGCAGAGTAATGCCAGGCAGAGCAGCAGTTTAGACTTTATTGCGAGTCCCTCTGGTCATCCCCACTCCCTGTGGGTCTGTTGGGCACACCATCTTTCTGTGGCGCGTGAGATGGGTCCTTCTGGAGGAGCCTGGAGGCTCCCATCGATGCTGGTGCCAAGTGCACTGCTGTCTCCTGCTTGTGGGCCCTGAGGATTGCTTCAGGCGATGTGTGTGGTGGTGGCAGAGTGCTTATCTCAAGTTAAAAACCCGACCCACGTAGCATGATTCATGTTTCAGCAACCTTGGCACTGGTACTGCTTTGATCTACAGATCTTCTTGCATTGCTCAAAGTTAATTGCTTAATGTGGAGTATAGCCAGAGAGTGTCAAGGATATGGGAAGAGGAACCTAGGATGATTTAAAAAAACGACAAAATGAAAAACCCCAAACCAACCAAACACCTCCTGCCTCCCCACAAAAACAAAAACAAAAACAAAAAACAAAACCCATCAGCCAAACACACAAACACAAAAACCCCAAAGACAAAATTAAATCAAGGAAAATTAATATAGCCCAAACTTAAAAATTTTGTACAGTCAACATACAGGAGATATAATATATTGTGTGTTCCCTTTCTCCCTCTGCCTCCTCCCCTCCCCCACCTCAGATTGTAAGAAAATGTTTTCCTTTGATGCCACAGCTTAAGTTGAGCAACAATAGTTGTAATAAGTAATGGGATCTGTGCCACTCCTCAGTGGATGGGTGGTTGTATCCTTTTCTTGTACTGCAGATGGGTGGAGAAGCACAAATGTTAGAGCATGGTGCTGACACTCTGGCCAGAAACTGCCTGATTTTGGTTAAAAAAATATTGTCATCTTCCCCGTTTTTTATTCCTTTTCTTCTGGCGGGGTATGCAGTTATCGGTTCCTTGGTTTTTACTTGAATTTTTGCTCTCTAATACTTTCTTCTCTACCTCATAGCTGTCCTGTTTTTTTAACTTCTTACTCCAAGGCATGGGGCAGAGTGCCTGCTAGGGCAGGCCCTGGTGGAGCTGCTGACACCTCTGAGGAGCTGCAACTAATCTGTTGGGTGTAACGACTTTAATGCTTTTGCCATGTACATTACAATAGGGCACAAAACATACATTTGCTGGATCCTGCAGGAAGGGAATGGGCAGTTGGTGGAGGCAAAAATTCCTTCTATTCCCATAATTAATACTGCCCTAGGCTCTGGACTAGATTAAAAAGGGTGAGTAAGCAGAATCCCTGCCAGGGAAGCTGAGCTATCTGGGATTGTCAAGGAGAGGTCTGAAGGAATGTCGTGAGGAATTAAACCCGGAGCCACATGGAGCCTTCCCCCTTTACTTACTTTGCTTGCCCTCCTATGCATTTATAAGCATTCTTGATTCATAGAAGACCCTCTTAAATGATGAAAGCATCAGTGTATTTGGAGAAATCAACACCTTAAACCAGCTGAATAAGTGTGCAGCTATCTCAGCTATCGGAACGTGCTTGATGTTTTTGCTTTTGGTGGGTTTTTTTGTTTTGTTTTTGTTTGTGTGTGTGTTTTTTTTTTTTTGTTCTCAAAACAAGACAGAGAAAATAATAATTAACATTTCATTTTGTTGGTATTGGTAAAGTTGGTCCCCATTCACGTTAGGAGGGTGGCAAAATCAACTTTGAGGTTATTCTTACAAATTTATTTTTAATTGTAGTAATTACTGCATTTATATTGTAGTACGTGCACATACAGCTCATCCATTTCGGTTTTCCACATATTAAAGTAAGAATTATGGAATTTAAGGCTTTATGTTACGGATGTGTCATTTACTTGTGAAAGTTGCAATAAAAAGATAATACACCCTTCACTTACTTGCCAAAAATTAAATTGTAGCTCAAACTTGAAATGCCTGGTGTCACTCCTACTACCTAAATAGCACTCCTTTCATTTTTTTAGGAGCTTGTGATGTCATCAGCTGAAGCGAAAACATCTACCTCATGACCTGGCATGTAAGTGAAGGAGGAACTGATATCTAAAAATAAATAAATGTGTGTGTTGGTGTTTACAATGTGTAAATTGAACCTATGTACCTTCAACTTTCAGATATCTCCTTTTAAATGAAAGCTTTTTGAATTTTAAAGAAATAAAAAGTCTTTTAAAGGGGAGAAAGTCATAAAAGAAGCTGTTAACATTAAGATTTCAGCCTGCAGAACTCTGTGTAATAATCTCAGTTAAAATCTACCTTGATGTAACCCATAATACTTGGAAGGCTGGTAGGCATAGATGGAATAATTTTATCTTACCACAATATTTACATGTGCTGCTTCTACTCCTTTTTATCCTGTGCTTCTTTTCTGGATATAAATTCTGATAGTTGTGATGAATGCGTAATATACACAGTGATACCCTTCCTAAAATTAAAAAGTCTAGTTGTGCAGAAGGTTTAGAGTCTTTTATGTACTCAAGACACTTCATAGTGAACTTTCTGCAGCTTTGTGACACTTCTATTTTTTTCCCTAAAGTAAGCAAAAATATTTCAATCCTCTGCAGAGGCGTTTTCAGAGGTTCTCTTTTTTTTTTTTTTTTTTTTTTTTTTTTTTTTTTTTTTTTTTTTTTTTTTTTTTTTTTTTTTTTTTTTTTTTTTTTTTTTTTTTTTTTTTTTTTTTTTTTTTTTTGTCTGCCCACTCTCTGCTTTTCTTTTATGTGGCTTAGAGGATTAAAGTGCAGTCAATGCTTTGAGGGGCCGATGCCAGTGGTAAGCTGGGTTTTCCTAAATGGTGCCAACACCTGTCCCTCATTATGAAGCCTCGTTCAAGCTGTCCGGTGAACCGAGGTAACCAGTCTCCCCTACATGTCTCTAATGTGATTATAAAGCCCTCTCCTGATACAAGTTTTATTACTTATTCGACTTTTGGAGTGATGTGGAAAGTGAAGCTAAACTGAGCCATTTGGCTGGCTAACAAAGATCATAAGGAGTGGCAAAGAAAAGGATGCAGTCATCTCAATTTCAAGACTTTTCGTTCAAAGCTTGCTTCTGCTTTGACTGTTTAAACTGAAACGAAACAGAAAAAAAAAAAAGGAGGGGGTGTTTTTTTGTTGTATTTGGGTTGGTTTGTTTTTTTTCTTAGTTTTCATGTCAGTTACTCTGAATTTAGAGACCAGATCTACAGATTCCAGCTGAGCTGTGAACATCTGAGTGCAGCTGCTATTGTGCATAACCCATTGATTTTCTGCAAATAGAGCTTTGGCCTTGACTACTCTTGCACCATCTCTTTGTCTTCGAGGGGTCAGGGCTTAGCAATTCTTCTCTACACAAGACAGCATCAGCCTCTCCTCCCACCTGATTCTGCGATGCATTGTGCGTTGCCATTGCAGTTGGAAAGTATGACCTCAGACAGAGGAAATCAATGGCTTAGATGAGGTAGATCACTGTCATGTTTGGACTTTACAGGCAAAAGTTATGTTACGCGGTTACATTTTTCTAAATAGTTCAAGTACGCTTTTAAGAGTTTATCTTGCAGAATTCAAGCATGCAGAAGTACAATGCTGGCTGGAGGCTTTGGGTTATTTCCCTGTGAGGGAGGAGAGAGACAGAATAACTTCAGATGTGTACCTTGGAAAGGTTTGAGATAATAAACCTGTAAGAATCACATGAGAACACTATACTAGTTATCCAGATTTGGAAAAATGGAAGAAAATGAAAGTGTAGTTGATTCTTAAACTTGAGACACGGAATTGGAAGCCTAATTATTAAAGGGATTGAAGATCTGCAGATTTGAAAAGAACCCAAAAGAAAATCCTGAGTGAATAGTGCCCTAAGTTGCATGTAGAATGTATTTTTACAATATGTTTATTTGGTTTCTCTTAAAAAAAAAAAAAATTAAAAATCAACAACTCGAGCACACTAGGAGTGATCTCATCTTTTACTTAATAGTTATTACCAAAATAGCACTTTACAGTGAACAGCAATTTAGAAACTCTTCAGGGCAACAGTATGTCAACTGTCAGAATCTCTGCTAGTTGTGATCATCATAATCAAAATGTGCTCATCATAATCAAAATATACTCATTTCAGTATTTATCATGGTCGTATAGACTACTTATCTGATCTGTAGTCCACAGAGGTCAGGTTAGGAAGTGATATATTAAAGAACAGTAAAATCCATCCCACAAAGATGAGTTAGGAGTTATGAGTTTGTCTGGTTTCAGATGAGCTCCCTTATTGCACTAGGCCAGTTGCTGTCTCTGATAATGGTCAACAGTGGACACCTAGGGAAAGAAAGCATTATAAAGCTCCTATAGACTCAGTTTCTTGTAAAATTTTGACTTCGGGATTTCCAGCAGATTGGCAGGACATGTTGTGTTTAATAGCCCTTGTTCTCCAGTTGCCTAATGTTCTTCAATCTGCTTGCTTTTCAACCTGTGCAATACCCTGTAGCCTTCAGTTTCTCTAAGTAATTTCATACAATATGGCTTTTTTTTTTATTATTTTCTTCACTTAATTACTTTCCTTTGAAGTTTGTTCTGTAACTTTTTGTGTTCCTTGTCTTCTGGGCCTTGAGAAGCAGTGAGCAGTCTCTTAATCCTGTTTGCTTCTCTTTGCCACATATGACAGATCTCTCCTATTCTGCACCCTGCTTTTTTCAGCTAGTCTCAGTCTGTTTAATCTCTTACCTTAAGGCCATGGCATGCTTGCCTTACAGCTGTAGTTGGAAGTTCACATTCTGCAAATACTTCTCTAGTGGTGTGGAGGGGAGCTACAAGATGTTCCCTTGCTCTTAGCCCACATGAGTGATCTCCTCATGTTGCTTTCTTGGTGTAGCCAAGCGGGCGTAGCAAATGAAACCAGACAGGCTTGTGTTGGTGCTTGTCAGCTTTCCTCTTGGGCCTTGCCAGAAGGATGCCTCTCTTGCACCAATGTACAGTTGTCTGTGCTGTTCCCTTCCTACGGTAGTTTTTGCTACAGGTGATTTTGGCAATGCCTGAGTATTTTTAAAGGCGTTCAGGTAATGTGTATGTTTGCACTTCTTCATACCTTTTAAAAGTGTCTCGCGGGTGCTGTGGTGTAGCTGTGTATGTATTAACTGGAAGCCATAGTTCATGTTGGGATAGCCAACAGCACTTGGCCTCCCTGGCAGGGATGTCTGAGGGAGCAGATGGACAGCACCTTAACTGCTCCCGGATTGCAGCTTCAGTGTGGACAACCTGCCACTTGTGCTGTTGCAGAGCTGGGGAGGTGGATGGCAGCAGAGGAGTCTTGGGTGCCTTTATTCTTCCTCGGTCTGAGCACAGGCTTGGCTGTGCCTTCTCTCAATTGCAGAGCCCCAGATAACTCATAGAGCTGCAGCCTGCCCCACATCCTGTGTCTGTGTGAGGTAAGAACTTGCAAAGAAGGAAGCTTCTTTACAGCTTTATGAAAACCTCACTGACCATGTAGAGTTGCATGTACAAAACATCAACTGTAGGTTTTGGATTGCATCATAATCTTAAGAGTGACACTCCTGTAGAGGTAGTTTGGTTTGTTTTGTTTAATTTTATAGTTTTACTTTCAGTTGGAATCTCTTTTCTCTCCCTATTTTTTGGCAGAGGTTTTAATACTGCTCTTGACAACATGAGGTTCAGTTGCAACAGCTGCAGCATCTTGTAGCTCTTACCTATGAATACACATAAGTGTATTGGTGAAACACCTCCCTAATTCTGCGGCTTGCAGGCATTTCCGTTCTTCCCAGTACAGGACTGCAGAGTGGATGAAGAGATCTGCTTTGGGTTCAGACTCCTTATCTCACACCCCAGCTGCTTTGGAAGGTCAGCTGTGATAGCTCCTTGTCCTCACAGGATGGAAAGGATCGTGTTCTCCTGTACTTTCGTACTCCACCTGTTCAAGTCCCCATGCTCTGTGATCCACCCTGTGGTTTGGCACCTTTTCTCCTGTGCCACAAAAGCCACCTCCATCTACTTACTCAGCTTCAACACAGCTTAAGAAGGACATACTTTCTACTAGGAACAGTAGATAAGTGGTAATCTAGTCTTACTCATTTAAATCTTGTTTATTATTTCAACAGGAAGGAAGAGGAAAGAGGAATTTAGAGGAATGTTAATGGTCAGTCCTGATCAGTGCATCCCCTCATTAAAAAAATATAGAAGTGCTATGGATTCAACTTTGCCATTTGATGAGAAGTTGAACCTTATGTGGTTTTCAAGATGCATCTCTTGACTGCTATCCCAAACAAGATATGATATTTTGGAAACCTTGGGCAAATACAATCATCCTCTGGTTCCTCTTTCCAGGGCGGCGTCAGCCCCAGTGGGCAAGTTTGCTATTTATTTAGTCAATGCTGCACCTTGTGTTATGACAGAGAAAAATAGTAATTTAATTTTTTTTGCCTCTACTCTTTACATAAAAATGGCCAAACATCAATCAGCCACAGTATCTCTTTCATAATGTTTTTTCCCATCTCAGCTTGGTGATTTAGAGAAACCTGGAGTGGTATTTATGTTTTTATAAATCTATTTTAAGTCTCTTTGACTAAAAGACTCCTCAATGTCCTTTGGCATGTTGTATATTACAGGTTGTAGCATGTAACATTACATTAATTGACCAGATATTAAAATAGATTTTAATTCATTAGTTATTAAGACAGATTTTGTTGTCTCTTTAAAAAGTTTTTAAACTAAAAAGTATTTTAAGAAATCTTAGACTAAATCTTTGCTCATGCTGCGATGTTTTGACATGGAGAACCAAAATAATAGTGCAACCACATATATACTATATATATTATGGGAAATGCTAGAAAATATAGTAGTATCTTAGTATTCAACCAGTTATTTAAAATATTCCAAATACTGGTTAGAGTTGTGGCTGTGACAGTTCATTTCCTTTAATTGTTTCTATCCAATGAGAGTGAACCCTCAGTGCACTCCTTTTACTTGAAGAAAAGTTTAGTATCCAGATTGTTTATTTCAACTTGTAAATGAAAACCATTTTTTGTCAGATAAAGAAAGAAATTGT